TTCTAGTAAGTTCTTCTGCCTGTGAAGAAAACATAAAGCTGTCAGCATTAATCAATCATTTAGAGATTCGCCATAAATTCGCCCTCATTAAATATCTTTAGAGATGATTTAATGTATATTTGGTCCAAACGATTACTCACTCTGACCTATCGCTCTATCTGGTCAATTCTGCTATCCTCCCACACAAGCATGGCAACAATTTGCGGCTTCCTCAGGTATGGAAAGCTTCGTGAGACTGGGGTGAGGAATCGAACTCATGTGTAATTCGGGGCGGCTGTAACCACTGCGCTAAACGCACCCTTTTCTGCATATACTGGTGTAGATCACCCTGCAATGTTCTTTTGCGGCTTGCACTTATCATTTCAGATGTTAAATGCGCCATAGTAGGACTAAGGTTCGTAATTTGAACTTCTTGTTTCGGTAACTGAAGCAAGTTAGGCACAAGTTTTCAGTTTGTCGATAAGCAGTTTGTAGTCCTTGCTCTGCTTTTGCTTCATCTGTCATCCATATGAAAAGATAGTCTTATTGAAGATATCCTCGTCGTGCATGGCTTGTTTCTTTTTTCTTGGACTATGACAAGAGCTCTTTTCTAGCTTGTGGCTGAATCGAATCATGGCACGCAGAAGGCAGTGATCGGACCCTGTGCAGTATGCAGGTGCCACTGAGGTGTAGAAAAGGCATAATTTCCTGTTCCTAAGAACGTGATCAAGCACCTGATGAGTTGTACCGTTAGTAGACTCTCGTATCCATCGGGATTTTTCTGCTCTTGAGAAACGGATCCCCATGGAAAATACGTGCTCCGGTCGAAAGTCCTACAATATGCTTTACATTCTCTTTACATTCATTCTGAATTTCTCTGACCCATACTCATTTTCTTTGAACACTCCTAATCTGGTCTGGCGTTGAAGTTGCAACCACAAATTCATGGGAGCACTTTTCGTTGTTGATAACTTCCTCCGATTTACTGTACAACGCGCCCATTTCGCTTTTACTAACTGTACAAGATAGTGAGTATCAGCAGTTAGTGATGCTGACTTTCTTTTAACGCGGGAGTTGGAGACCGCAAATTAGCATGCGTGGTGATGGAATTTCTTTTGAGATGGATAAGTTGAAAATAAATGGGTGAGTGACATGACGAAAGCTTTCGACTTTTCTCAGCCGGAAATGCCCTTCGCGAGTGAGAAGGGTTCGGATATCTATCCAGGGTATATAGCTCTTCCTTCTTTTCATCTCTTATATATCTATCAGCTGCAATTTGATGCGACTGGCAGCCACACGAAGAGCGTCAAAGTCGGCGTCTGTAGAACCTGTTCGCAAGTTAGAGGTGCACAGCATGAACCAGTCTCAATGCCACGTCCTGCACATGCTCATTTTGTCCGCTTCTAACGATGTCCTGTGCAAACCGAGACCTGACCCTTTTCAGCTGTTTTCTTACCATACGACGTCGTAGAAGGCAGTGTTTAATGTGTGGGGTACTGAGGATGAAGGTTTTCTGGCTTAGCAATCGTGCTTTCCGTGAGCCCCGAGGTCAGCTTGGCCGAAAGCTTTTTCAGGTTCTTACCATCCGTGGCAGCTGCCGTTCTTGTAGATCAGAGAAAGATTTGCTACCATAGGAACAGTTTGATATTAGGCTGGTGGTGATTCCTGATCCTAGCTTACTCTTTGCTAGGCATCCGATTGGAAACGTCGGACTCCTTCTCAGCCTGGAAGACGTTGCTAGGTGGATGAATAGCCCAGTTGACATCGCGGTTCGTCACCCAGAAGTACTTCTACGAGGAAGAGACGAGGAATCGAAAGGAGGGAGAAACTTATAAAGAAAGAAAATTTAAGAAAAAGTCACTTATACTTTTCACAGAGAACCATGTTTTTTGAGACGGCTGTTGGTTGCCTACTTCTTGTGGAACAAATTCTCTGTTTATCCATTGGCCATGATTATGGTTTTTCAACAACCGTCATTAATCTTCTGTTATTAAAGACCTGAAGACTTGAAGAACTAACGAAGAAAGCTTCATCAACCTCGTTCAATAATATGTATATATGTATATGTATATATATATATATACATATACATATATATATTATATTCCTTAACGCTTCGTGTAGACGCTGTAGTGTCCATACTCAGTTTAATGGATTCCTGAGTTTTTATTTTTGCTGCGTTATGTTCATTTAATGACTAATCGAAAGCAGATGAAAACAGTAGGGGTCGACCGGAACAGTCATTCTGTTCATTTAATAATTCGCAGGAAGCACCTTGTCGAACAAGTTTTCCTCACAACCTAAAATGCGAAGCTTACTGAAGTACAACGTTTGTGAGAAAATGGGCCACTGAGAGGATCTTGTACGTGTCACCTAGTGACAAATGTGAAGTTAATGGGGAGAAAATTACATGTATTGGCTAGGAAGCGCTGAGCATCCAGAAGGTAGTTGATCACCGATACGATTTATTGCGTCACATGCTTGGAAACAACTCTCAATTATTGCTCTTACAATTTTTCTCCAATGTATTTGAAAGTAACGCTCATGACCGCTTATATGATCATCAAGAACCTTCATAATTTGTCAAATTACCTTCCCACAAACATTGGGAGCTTGGCTAGCCTCAGTAAAATCGAACCAAATTCTAAGCGATTATGTAGATATGGGTTCGGGAGGGAACCTCATGTTCTTAGATGAAAATAAGGTTTCTTTGTGTTAATGCGAACACTGCATGTTTTAGTCGTCCATTTCATCTATCACAGTAGTATTCAGATATTCGCTTGTTGACTATAGTGACTAGTCACGAACGGAATTTGGAGGGCTTTCTTTATTTCTCTCAGCATCCAAATCGATTTTGTTTTTCGGAAAACCACAGGAAGAATATATGGTATGGTACCAATTTGCCGTTACCCCAGGTATGGAGAGCTTGGTGAGGTTGGGGTGCGGGATCAAACTCATTTGTTTTACAGGGCGGCTGTAACCACTGCGCTTATCGCACTCTTTTCTGCCTATACTGGCGTCAATTAACCTGCAATGTTCTTCTGCTATCAACATTTACCATTCCCCGTGTTAGATGCGTGACATTAGGATTAAGCTTCACTGCCCTACTGTTATAGAACTCCTTTGTAATAGTGGAGACGTAATCTGAACCTCTTGTTTGAGGAACTAAAGGGAGTTCGGCACAAGTTTTTAATTTGTCGATAAGCAGTTTGTGTTCCTTGCTCTGCCTTTGCTTCATCTGCCATTCATATGAAAAGATGGTCTTTTTGAAAATGTCCTCGTTGTACATGACTTGTTTTTTTTTCTTGGACTATGACAGGAACACTTTTCTAGCTTGTGGTTCGATTAAGATTAAGTTAAACAGAAAACATAGCAAAAAACCTCATTGTATCTGTCTGCATTCCACATTTATGTTTAAAAAAAGGATAAAGCATTTGGCGTCCACCAGTTCATCTTATATGCACCATGCATTTGACCTCATCACCCATCATTAAAGATGACTGATGTGCGACGGTATACCGATTCGTCACGTCAGTGCTGTTAACATTAAACACAAGTCTGGTACGAATTTACCAATCCCGGAGGGATGGAACGCTTGATGAGTCCATGTGCAGAATCGAACCAACGACCAAGTTTGCATAACAGGGAATCTCGAACCACTATCTTACCCGCACTGTACATTCTTGTCGTTATTATTTATTATTACGTGACCCAAAGTCACATATACTACACTGTGTCCAAAAAGCACTTCTTCCACTCGAATCATTTCCTTGCATCCATAATCCGCGCAGGTGTTTGAACTTTTCGCACGTCGTTTCAAGTGGCACTCGAGGAATTTTTTGGCTTCGTTGCGAATGTCGATGCATGCTGGTCGACTCATTAGTACCTGGAATGTTTAAACAGCTGTGTTAACGCGTTTCCGTTTAGACTTAGTGGATTGAACTGCTCCCCTACAAATCTGGAACCAATTTGCCCACCGCGATGTGACGAAAGAATGGTGTACTCAGAGTGGGTCGAACCGGACCATGGGTGGGTAGCGTTGTTAACTTATTGGACGGGATCACTACTATTACACAACGGTTCTTTGTTTGCATTATGCGAGAACTTCTCAGTAGTTTTCATCACTATTTTATGTAAAAGTTACTAAGCTGGTCCTACAACGATTGTCATTTTGCAGTATCATCGATTTTACGCGAGCACACATCGGGTTGATATGCTTTAGATTCTTGTTAGGTAACCCACACTTTCAATGTGGTTTAAGTGTTAATGGTTGTTTAATGTAATATAAAATGAAGCCTACCCAACTTATTTAGTTTGTTCAGATGGTCTATGTCACTCTTTTTCCTCCTTTTTCCTCCCTTTTCGCCGTGCGAGTTGTATTTGTATGTTTATGTCTCTTTAGTGATGCAACTTTGTTATCCTTAACGCACGTAAGGTTCTCACTTAGTACCAATGTTGCCCACTTCAACGCTGTTCGATGTGAAAATTTCCGACGATCCCTGTCGTGGAGGAAGTCCAGCTTCAGGTATGAATTCCTTGAAGGTATGAATGCGTCGTTTTCTTCTTCAACAATCATGAGGTTGTTAGACAGCATATATTCTATAGAAAAACACACAATACAATACAGTAGTTGACGTTTCCGCAGTATCGCCTTCTTCAGTATACCATTCCAGGCTCTGAAGAAGGTGATACTGCCGAGACGTCAGCTACTATTCTATTGTACTGTGTGAAATGTGTGCTGTCTAACAACCTCTCGATTGCTGAACAAGAAAATGACGCATTCATATTCCAATGTTAAGGTTAATATAAAGTCGATCCTAGGAACTGTTCCATGAAGGTATTCGTTTACCTGAGTTTTATTCACCAACCCCCTATTTAGGAGATTCTTCATGTGATTTCAACGGCAATAATTCCGAAAACTGCGAATGTGTGGGTGAGCTTATCAGGCGAATAATTGCACTCCGCCGCTTGAGTACTACACAAGGTCGGGCAAGTGAACGGAGTTTCCTGCTTACAGATTTATGTGTTATTTAGTACTGATCCGTAGTTATCTCTGTGCAATACTTTTAGATGGTGAATACTCTGTCATTAATAACAATGAAGTGAAGTGGGCTAATCTTTTCATGGAGTTCATTCTTGGCACCGCGTTTTGTCAAGCTCAGAAATGCCAAGGTACGTTAACGTCACGTAGCCTTTCTTTTTACCTTTCTGTTATGTTTGTATTTCAGCTCATTCCGATGACATGATTTGGTACGTGCATCAGATGAAAATCAATTCATCGTTCTACTTGGGTCACTCGGTACCACTACTTTTATGCCTTTCTAGTCATTTGTATATGCAGTGCTACTAAGAGAGCTCAGCAAGACTGTTTAACAGTTGTCGGTTTAGTTTAGCTATAACGAACTCTGTGGTGTTCTTTCTCTTTAAAGACCTTAAGTCCTTTAAAAAAGATGTTAAGAAGCGTATTTTTTTTAAAGTAAATTCTACACTTCTGTCACGTGATTTGCTTTTATATAACGTATTCATCAAATTCAATGAGGAAGTAATGACGTTTGAAAGTTATTATCGAGTCTAAGTGATTGAAGGAAGATCGATTTTGTATGAGAGAAGTATTAAATGGGAGTAAACTTATATAAAGGTATGCTTGCGCATATATACATATATATATGTATGTATGTATATGTACTACTTATGTATACGTATATGTATGTGTGTGCCATTCAGCAATCCAGTTTGCTGCAAGTATATCGGCGTTCCAGCAAAAATCAACCGTCTCCTTGCGATAAAGCATATAATTGGGAAGAAACCGTTTGTTTAAACCTTATCCTTCAGCAGGTTAGGTGGTTCCTTTATTATCTTGTTCAATTGTAGTTTACATATATCATGTGCAAATATGTATATGTATATATATGTACATTTATATTATAGATGATGGTACATGCATATATATATGTATATATATATATATTACATATATATATATACACAGGTATAGATGCATACATACGAACGTGTGTATATGGGGGTATATGTATATGTATATATATGTACATTTATATAGGTACATGTGTAAGCATATATAAGCAATGTTTGAAGTGCTTCTTCATGTAGTGGTGTCGGTCTTCGATATAGTAACATTAGCATTGTTTTGAAAACATAGAAGACAGAGTTGCTTTTGATTTTAATATGTACCTAATCGTGCATTATATCTCTCATTTCATATTTGCATAGTTTCTAACACATTTAGCTGGATTTCTATGTTACATGTGCAGTGTGCACGCAAACAAGCCCAAGAAACCTAGAAATAATCCGGAAGAACTGCAGAAAGGTATCCGTCAGTTGTGTTTCTGTTTGTTGGCTGTATTCTGTTGATTTTTTACTAGAATATTTTTTTATGCTTTAGGTTTATCCATCTCCTAGCAGGAGGAGAATGGACAGCAAGGGTGAGAGCGAGGAGATAACATATCCAAAGCTCTATTTTGCAATTGATGGATTTGAAGAGGTTAGTTGTTCAACAAGGAATTTCTATGCAAATTGAAGTGATTTCCTGCATTTAATCATAAATGCCAGACTTTATCAACGGTTTGAACCACCCACATCCTTATATCTTTAAATATTTCGTTTACATTGCTTCTTATGCGTTTTTATGTGATGGTGTATTTCACCTTTGTATGTTTTTAAGTAGTGTTTTTTTATGTTTAAGTTAAGTTTTCACATTTTGTTTCGTGCTGATGGAAACAATGTCTTTTTAGCCTTAAAAGTGCAGTTTGTTTTAAAAATGTTTCTTTACTTACAATGTTTTGCATATTCCTACTTGTCCTTGTTTATGCTTTTTTATTGTTTGAAATGATTTTAGTATTCTTTTGATTACCTAACATTTTTCAGCGTGTTAGGTCTTTGTGATCATTGAGTCATGTTAATTTGCCTTAATGCTTGACAGTAATTTAATAGCTTTAAATCATTGCACGCTTAACATAACCAGTTTGGTTGGTGTCGTCCAGTTTTTCTTTTATGTTTCCATTGATATGTGTTTAGGCTTTCCAAGACATTGTGGTTAGGGACGGTGAATGTGTTTGCGTGGAATTAGTTGCTCGTGATAGACAGAAGACAAAAGAGGCGGTCATATTTCTTGGTTCAATCAGATACGACGTCCTCAGACAAGTTTATGACGCTAAAGTAATTTTGCAATACTTCTCAACTTCGGCGGAAATCACAAGTTTTGTTGAAGGCTTCAACTTCGTGGAATTGGGCCCAGAAGCTGATGAAACAAGGTGGAAGACGACAAGAGTTTGTGGGTATGAGAGGACCGCATAAAAAAGTGAGTTGATAAATTCTCGCCAACTCATCGTGGATGTTGAGCAAAAATTTCGTCGGATTTCTTATTAATAAAGATTCTTACGTGATCATTTTGTTGAAACCTTTAGGGATATGCTGAAATGGCCGTAGCTCGAGTTCTTAATAGTGGTTACGAAACTCCTTTGACGGAAAATAACATAGACTTTTCTGAACTAGCTGGTGTAAGTTTTTCATCTTCTTTGCTCTCAGTACTATCTTCTGGTTGGAAATTCAGGTTGAGCACACTCTAAATCGTCGAAGGATGTCTGAAACAAATCTTTCTGGTCCGAAAGTGTTCACACGTCCATCTGTCATGCAGGGAGCTCAAATGCCCTATAGTCGTAGATGGCAAAGCGAGACAGATACAGCGAACCAGTATCCTGAAGTTGAAGGAAGCAACATTGACGATGGTATATTCTTTTTTCATATTTGTTGAGATTACCAATCCCGTGCTCTCAATTTAGCAATATTTTTAATAGAATTAATGAACGGACTTCTATGAATAATGGAGAAAATCCGTTGGAAACGGTTATTTCCCTCTGTAAAGAATCAAAGGCATAATGGACGTAATCTTTATAGTTTTAGGAAAACACTTCGAATTTTCCTCAAATATTGGTTTCAAATTGTTGAGATTTTGGCATCACAAGATCTCTAGTGTATATTCCACAATCTTTTGGTTAAGATTTGGATGAGGGCGTTTTGACTCGATTATGGTCTGTACGTGGATTTGGGCAAGCATGGCACTGGCTGCGAGAGAAGAAAAGGGCAGAATGTACACCACTGAATGCATATCTTACCTATGTGACACTTTCCTGTACCAGCATCCTTAAAGGTAACGTTGACTACGAAGTTGCAAATCAGACTTGCAGTTCGTTCATGGCAATTATCAGTTTTGTCTCTATTTTTCGTCCGGTCGTAGACATTCTGTTACTTGTCATTTTTCTTTATTGAATATTTCTTATAAAGACGTGAATAGTTTTTCACTTTTCCTATAATATCTGTCTGGAACGTCCAGCGTTTTTTTTCTTTATTAAGTTCGTGGAGTAATGCTAGGGTACGGCTTTTACATTTAGTTTTTTATTTACTTGGAAAGTCACAGAAACAAATCTAGTACCTATACCCATCTTCACAATATCGTAGGAGCTTTAGTGCTTTTTCCATTGGTTTCCTTTTGTTACAAACGTCTTATATCGAGGTGTTACGATTCATGTATGCATTGGGCTACGGTCTGGTATTTTTTTTCCTTTTCTCCCTTCACTGATATGTTTTATGCTGAATGAGTGCAGTTTTTATGGGACTCGAAGCTAACTGTGATAGATCGCTCGCAGGTTTTCAATAGTTGCTGGCTGCTTTGGTTCAGAATTTGCTGCCTTGCAAGCACCGTTCTTCCAAAAGTGTTACAATTTCTTTGGTTAGTCCGCGACCATTCGAGAAAGATCTAATAGGTATACCACCCATAAACCGTTACCCGATAGTCGACTGAAAACGTCATAATTCCATAAGCTTTGTTTCCACGGCCATCGTGGGTAATGTTTCATCGAAATACTGTTTTCATTACTTCAATACTGAGCTTCAATGCAATATTTGCAAAACTCCGGACCGCAGGTGTCTTCGATGGTAAACGAACGCGCTATTATCCTTTCCGTCCGGAGAGTAACGCGTTGATCACCACACCATGCGGGCCTTCGTTTCGCCTGTCTCTCAGTTCTACAATCAGCTAGTTCTACCGATCTTTTGCCATCAGCAATCACCCGTTAGCGGGATTGATCTTTTCTTCTTAAACTACCCGGAAAGGACAATAGCGCATTCGTTTCTCACCGCAGACACCTGTGATTCTGAGTTTTTCAAATATCTCAGCATTATAGTTGTTATATTTCGCAAAAATACCCCGGCGTTAAAAATAATAGGCAGTAAATAAAAGGGTTAAGACTGTTTTCATTGTTTGCCATTGCCGTTATCCAGTATCTTTGATCGATCAGTAATTTTACAGATTTAGGTTTTTTTGGTAAGCCAAGGTTTTGTTGATTTAAATTGGGATTTTGTTGAATCTACGTTTCGATGGATATGCTGCTAACGGAAGAGTAACCTCAAGGTTATTGATTTGTCTAGTAAGATGAACCCTGTTAGAGAATACTCATCAAGCACATCACATGTGATAGTTGGAATGATCACTACGTTCACTATTCCTGAGCAGAATGGCCGTGCTGCTTGAGGTCGTCCATTTCTTCGAAAATATGGCTGCTGTGTCGAAAACATTCGGGTTTTGAAAAAAAAATTTTCTTAGCCGTTGTATTATCTTTTCCACAACACTGTTCTTCCTCCACATGGGAACTCATTAACTCGGCTATCCGTAAACTTGCCAGGAGAATCGACTCGACCAGCATTCTACAACATTCACAAGGAAGACGAAGTCCTCAAGCAGTAGTCTAAGCAGCACGCGAGATGTTCGAAGACATTTGTGGACGATGAATGCGAGAAAGACAAATCGAATGCAAGAAGCGATGGGGTTCGCGCAGTAGTTGTGATGATGAGTCGTGTAAAAAAAAGTACTACACTGGCATGTGGCGCATTAGTTGGAGGCGCCACTGCGATACACACGTGTAATCGATCCACGCACCCATAGCCACCAAGCCGTTCATCCCTCCAGGGTCGGTGAATTGGTGCTAGACTTGTCTGGGAGGATAGCGGCCCTATCTCGTTACATCGGTAGGCCACCGCTAGTCTTTGTAAAGGCCATATATGCATTCAGTCACCTCCAACGATACTTAATAAAGTCGAAGCATTGATCATCCCTCGGGGATTGATCAACGTTGAGAGCTTTTATTTAGCTTTCCTACACTGGTATTTATCTCACCTCGTTTTGTTGGGAGGAATCGGGAGTGGGTATCAGCTGGTGTGTTATCGGCTTGGATGTGAGTTGTAGAACTCACTCAGGCGTGAAACCTTGGAATAGAATCACTTTGTGGTTTTTTTTCAGCAGGACTTTTAACTTTGTAAGATGTGTTTAAATATGTAGAACTTAAATGTTATTCTCTAGCATCTGCCTAGTGATTTAAGACATGCGATCCTAACCTAATTGAAGATGTGGGGTCTCCTAAAAAGAGTTTCCGTCTATTTTGACAAACAGTACGTATCGTTCGATGGATTTTTGCTAAATGACACCAGAGATAATGAAGGAATATCGTGTGTAATCATATACGTATACTTCATATACGGTGCAGTGAATTAGTAAGAACTTGGGAGTGCAGAAAACGTGGTCATATATCTTGCCGCCTTCTGGATTTCATTTTGTCTCATTTTTATTTCAATCTGGATCATATTAGGTTACTAAGCGTAAATGTTTCATTTTCAATAAAAAATTTATTGTGTCATGACCTCGTGAAAGTTTCTCATCATTCTGGGAACCATGACAACCAACACATTTTTGCTGACGTTTATAAACTCACACATTCAAGTTTTATATTTGAGCTTTTGGATCCGTTGAAGTTGCCGAATGCCTTCTTTTACTATATTATAAATGAGAAACGTTTTCTGGCACCGGTAGCTGACCATGTGTTTGAAACAATGTTAATCCATTAGTGATATTAGTGATAGGTCTGACGAGTATGACCAGCAAGAGTAGTTTCGCTCACCAGCATCTGGAGCATCGCTTATAAGATAGAATGGTATGCATGGGGAATGGTTTTGTTTAACAGAGTTCGTCTTTTACGATTTATCATTACTAATCTATACGATTAAATTTTTGGTATTTTTATCGATTCGCTGACGGTACTTCTCTGATGGAATAGTTTAATCGGACTTGAATATGTTAGGTTGGTATTCCTATTTGCAAAGCGCCAAAATCACTTTCGATAAAACTTGTCTTGTGAAATTTTTTTGTGCTTCAACTCTTCCTATTCCTTTGGCAGAACGCATCAAATTTCACAAATCCCATTTTCCGTTGTCCGTCGTGTTGATATCAGTAAACGCGTAATTTTTATTCCACAAAAGTGACACAAAACTGATTCCTTATCGATCATCTCATTGCCGTCATAGCGAAGCTTTTGTTTTGTATATACATGACTCTTCCTCAATATTTCAAACTACTGTACAGATTTACTTCGTTTGACATCCTCAAGTAGTCGTCCTTAAGAACAGTGGGTCGTTTCTGAGTTTGCTTGTCCTCTGTGATCTCAAATCTTTTACTACAGTTTTGGAACCAAAGTGGTGCTGTACAATCGTTGACCATTTCCTGGCTAAATACAGTGTTAACGTGGCAAGCATAGTTTTTTTCAAGTTTTAGATTTATTCAAAAGTAGCTCGAGTTCTCTTTCCCTCCATTCTAATCCCAATGACTTAAACTGGACAAAAAATCGTCACGGCGACCAGTGAAGTTAGACGGTCTTTGTTTATCGCAGGAAGCCTTCCCACTTTGTGACTGGTTTTTTTTTCCGATGCCGCTTTAAATTCAGGAGGTATTTCATTCTTATCTTATTTCTCAGTTAGAGATTTCCTTCACTTATTAACTACTAAACGGTTACCGATCTATCTGATTAATCCGTTTTTATATTCCTTAACTGCTATTTTGCGTAGTATGACATGTATTTTGTTCATACTGTTCCATATAGTGGTGTATTACAGTTAGCAAGAGAAGAGTTGTTCCTTTTTAAACCAAACCGAAATGTATATCAAGTGAAAAGTCGCATGGATAAGGGATAAAAAGATAAGACTCTCGGCGTTGATCAATCTCTGAGAGATGCGCCATGCGTTCGATTTCACTAAGCATCGTTGGAGGTGATTGAATGCATCCATATCTGGCCTTTACTATGGCTCGCGGTGGCCTACCAATTTCTCGAGCCAGTACTGCTTTACATCCTACCAGACAAGTTCGGTACCAATTCTCCGACCCCGGAGGGTTGGTAGGCTTGGTGAGCCACGAGCGCTGAGATCGATCCCATGTGTATGTTGCATGTCACCTCAGACCACTACGCTACACGCGCCCCTAAATCACGTGGAAGGGGAAAAAACTCATTACTGGTTACTGCCATGTACTCCAAAGTCAGGTTTTTCCTGACACTTCTAAACTGCCAGTTCACAGTTTTTATTACGTTCTATGCGAAATAGTTTATTACATTTTAAAGCAGTGACTAAATTGTTTACAATTGTTTTGTACGGACTATCAAATAATATAGTTTGTGTACAAACAGTTATGAAGAAAGCGTCTTAAGAACTTTGTAGATTGTATTTTTTGCAGAAAAAAAGAGCATTTCTTGTCCTGATTGAACGCATTTTGATTGTTTATTTCTTCCTGTTTATAAGATCGCTTACTCGTTGATAATTATTAAATTTCAAGAGGTTGTTGCTGCTTATATCTGTAGGGCTTTCGTTCATGTTGTGTGGAGCTTTAATTGAGTATTGCAAAGCTACAACAATTCAAGGACATAATCCCTCAGTTTTCTTGTTTGCTTGCGTGAGCAGTGTTTCTAGCGTATTTTGACTACTCCAATAATATTTTATGTGAACGAATTATTGTTATTGTTGTTCTGTTACATGGATTTATTTCAGATTTGTTGAGTGATCGTCCAAAGCGACCAATACTTACATTTGAGTTTGAGTCTTCTATTGGGCAGTAATTTCCTAGATTCTCTCTCTCTACCTTTGTTTCCTCTGTGAAATTTTTTCTTTTTGTGTTCCTTAATATTTAAATCGATTTTTTTTTACTTTTTTCGCTCAGAAATGTTTGAATTTCTTGTCGCATATGTGATGCGAGGCTATGTTTCATGTCGCTGTATGAAAAAATATTTCATGTTAAATTTATTTATTTCGATACGTGGGTCATTGAATATGTGTGAACATTCCAAAAGATCTCTGTTCTAGTCTGGAAATCGGTGAAGAATGTAATATTACGGTGTCTTTCTGAAGATTAGAATGTTGTTGAATGTTCGCGTTTCGCTTTTAAATGATCTGTAATAAAGTTTTCTTTTTCTTTTTTCACAAACGACAAAACTTCCTATTAACACGTCATTTCCAACACACACTGAATACAATGCATTTGATGCGAAAATAGTGTCGTTTTCAAATTCTGAGCACTACGTATTCAAGTGAAATAAAAGTCAGTATAATCTGCAGACCTTTGACAATGAGATGCAAGTTCTCTCATTCTACTCAAAAGAAGTTTTGGTTTTCTGGCGCTCATAAGTCATTCTTCCTTTTTAGTTCAAGAGTAGTATGTTATGCAGTTGAGCAAGTGCTATGACTTGAATACCTAGACGACAGGTCTTCATGAGTAGTGTGGATCTTAGCACATTTTCAATTCATTTCTTCATTGCGCGGCGATCACCCATGCGAGTAGTTGTTTCAAGTGTGTTAGACCTGTTAGAGTCTCAAGCAGTAAGTCTGTAAAAGATCTGTAACTGTGAGTGCGGCGGATTTATTTCACTTACGAATACATCCGTCCATCGTTTGGATGGCCTTCCAAGACGACGCTTGCATTATCTTGGAGTCCACTCCACTGTTCTTTTTGTTCATCCACCATCTGTTTTTCTTATTATGTGACCGACCCTTTCGTGTTTCGCTATTGATGTATATTCTCCCGTATTCCGAGGATGGGATGGATTTCGAATATCTTAACTACGAATTTCGGCTAGACGTTGTGAGTGTCGGTGAAATTTCAGAAGACATCGTTCGAGCGCACCGTGTGTAGTGCGTAGTATTCTTGAGGCGGCTGAAGTATTAGCCCACGTTTCTGCTGCATAATAGAGCGCTGGGAGGACTCCGGTTGTTCTCCTTGTAAATCGAACTCTATAACCATAGAGCCGCGCAGTTGAAATGAAAATGTCTGCAGCAAAAATAGTCATTTTGACCAATACTTGTGCCTCTCTCGTCCCAACCGATTGAATTCATTATTCACTGTGATGGGGCAGCAAACAACATTGGCGAAATGGTGCCGCCTTGTCGAATCTCTTTGGGGATGAAAGAGATCGATAAATAAGCTGGCGGAATATGATATTCGCATGGGTCCCGTCGGCATTTCTTCAGATTGACTTTTTTACTGTTTCTCTTGCCTGTACCAAATATAGATGCGCATTTGTTATTAGCAGCCTTAGGTGTGTCACAGTAGATCAAGCTTTGATTTTGTTTTATTTTCCAACAAATTCTTAGCCGTGATAAAGTTACAATCTGGTCCTCTTGTTTGACGAACAGGCGCGGATTCGGCGCAAGTTTCAGGTCCTT